AGAATATGGCTAAGTCATGTAGATCGTGTGCTGGACAGTTGAGAATCAAGTATTGGACTACGCTAAACCACAAACGCTCAGTCTGTCGTTCCAGAACATGCTGGGACTCCCGATGGTAAGGCTACTTGACCGGCGATTACAACGGGAGTATAGAACAGAGAATATTGAAATAACGTTGATTTGTGTTTGTGGCACCCACGAACTAGTATAAGTCGGATAAAAGGTAAACAATTCGTACATGGTACAAACATTTTGGCTAGTTAAATGATGGACTGGTATTGACGTTACGATCCGTGTCTTGCTAGCCTTCTTCAAGGTAGAAGGGTGGGGTTGCTTTCCGATTTTGTTTTGTCATTTGGAACCAGAAAGCCTTCTTGGACCGGCATATCTGTATCAGTCGTCTGATTCACCGACTGTTTTCATTGTGCATAAATAGACCGTATTTTGTACTGTTTTGGCTATGACAATTAACGCTAGGTAATACTTAGCAAAGACACGATGATGATATGACAGCGAGGGTAATAATAATGATAAGAGGGAAGGAATATATTCAGATTGTATTGATGTTTCGTTTGCTAAGCTTTTGCCACCATATATGTAAAATCTGAACAAGGGTTGAAGAATATGGCTAATTTGTTTGTTTAATTTGTTTTGAGAAATTTCCGAAAATTCTCTGGTTGCACTTTTGGGTAATAGCAGCAAAGAAGAATGTAACTAAATTTGTTCCCTTGAAGATAACAAGCAAAGAGTTCTCTTCTGTTATCATTGTTTCACCCTGTCTCCTCAATTTCCTGTAACTTTCTGGATGTCCCGTGAATGCCATGCTGAATGCCTACAGGTTGCAAGCAAGTCTCTGGGTTAGATTAAGTATATGAATAAATAGGTTTGAACCCGTGACTTGCCAACATTAGGTTTGCCTATTAAGGTATTTTGAAACAACAGTAACATGACCTGATAAGTGCGAACGCAACACATGTTCATTTAGTTGGTGGTATCTTTCAAATTTGATGATTGAGGGGTGTCATGGGCTGTCAAAATGCTAATTACTTAGCGTTAACGATAATTAGAAAGGTGAGATTATATGCTTTTTGTATAAAGCATGCAAATGTTTAAAAGTACTGTTGCTTGACTGAAGAAGGCATGAAGCTTTAAATGAAACCACTGTCACTCCAAACCGTCCTTTTTGACATTCCTAATGGCATTCTCCGTTTTCAGGAACGGCGGCGTGAAGGTAGAAGTTTAGATGATGATAATTGCACAGAATTCATTAAGTTGATCATCTGCGCTGTGGGATGATCTTGTTTTGCTTTTCTTGCGTTGTCCGTAGATTTATCTTTTTTGTCTTTCAGCAGATCACCTATTTAAAACGAGTGCGTTATTCTTTTTCCGGCCCTAATAAGGGCCGCTCTCCCCCTCGTCTCCAGTCCGCTTAATATATTTGCGTTTTTGCCCATTTACTTTGATTTATATTTTGTTTAAGCCGCAAATACTGCCAAATGAAAAACAAGCAGGAATTTCGTTGACGCCAG